ACATATTCTCTAAGAAATTAAATAGATTTTGTCCGGTACAAAATATAATTGAAAGCCCGATTAGGGTTTTCCCTTGGTGGCACTCATATGTGATCGATAAATCATACTTTTATTGGGCAGAATGACCATTGCTGAGCTAAGCTAACTTTGATTTACGCGAACTGATGTTGCTATAAAAATTTTTTTAATATACTACGATGAAAAAAAACATCAAGAAATAAAATTACTTAGAAAGATGGATGTAAGGTTTGTAATACTCACATCTATAAAACGTGCTGATAAAATATATAGCAATGTGAATGTGATAATTTTCCTCCTCAGTGACTCGCTTTATTTCATCTGCTTGTAATCGATTTTATATATTCTGTAACAAAATTATATTTCGGGCTTCGAGTGATGTAATCACAAGATCACACCTTTTCAGGCATAATAAGTGTTGCGGCTAATGCCGCCAATTATCTCATAACAACTACACTTTGTAGAAGAAACAACTTCAGACCAAAGCTTACCTGGCCTGAATACGCAAATATATACATATGATTGTCAAAAATAATTTGAGTGCTTAATTTTTATTTAAAGCAGGTTCTTGTGTGTGATATATATCAGCTAAAATATATAAAAAAAGAATGTTTTTCGACGCATGCTTTTAATAACCTCATGACGGTGACTTGAGTAATTTTTAATAAACAAAAAAAATGGGTGAAATGTTCCTAGCAAAAAAGGAGTGATAACTATTATATACCGTATTCTTAAAATGTACTGTACGTTAAAACTTTGTTCGTTTTTATGATGAGTCATCGCAAGCCTAGAGAAAAAATTTGAAGAATATTGTGAAGGATATTAGTTGAAAATTTTAGATTATAGAAATCGAGTTAGATAGGTGTATCCTAAATTTTGCTGTCGACTTGTAGTAAAAATCCAAGAATTAAATGGTAAACATTTCGAATGATCCCGTCCGTAGATTTTCACTTGGAGAATCAGATCCCAGCTATATATCATCATAATTTTTATCTATCGTTCTAGAAGTCGAAATAGTAGCAGAGCAGAGATGCATCTGCACTAGAAGAGTTCAAAAAGCTTATCACACAAACACTAAGCATCGTCTTCTAACTACTCGTGAGATACAAGAGTTATGGAATCAAGAAAAAAAACAACCTGTTTCTATTGCAACAATTCGTCGTGCTTTGAAAAAAACTGGTCATTGTTCATATATTGCATGTTAAAGCGGTCGGGTTAAACAACTAAACATTGTCATCAAAAAATGTAGATTCAGAGGAATTTCAAATGTAAGCTTATTTTAGTCAGAACATAGGTATTTTTAGTGTTTTTTATTAAACTAATAATTGAAAATACGAATGTCCGCAAAGGGCTTGTGATGGCATAAGTCCAATGCTGGAATGACAGATTTGTTAGCCATAGAATTGTTTCATTTTTAGTCGTATATTTCTCTTTTGCCTGAAAATAAAATAAGTTACATTTCCTTTGATTGTGAGTTATCTTTGATGGTCGTCGATGAGGTACTAAAAGCTTATCTCGAAAATTCAAAATTAATTCAGAACTAAAGGCTTGATGCTTCACATTATATCTTGGAATAATCCCCAAAATTTTGAACATAGCATAGCAATAAAAAGTTAAGTAAATGCTAGGTAAAAGCATTATTGTAAAAAATAAGCATAGTATTGGGAGAATCAGTGGCTTGAAACTTTACTTATTTAAAAATTTGCTGTTATAAATAATGAAGCTTTGCTTCTCTCATCGCTTCGTGGCTATACCTTTTTTGGTAGACATTTAAATCCAGACTAATTTCCTACTCATCCAAACAATCGCGTTAAAATATAAAGGGGACTCTTCTTATTTCATAAAAAATTGTTACCGGAACGACAACAGGCAAATAAAAAAATATTTTATTGATTATATAATAATAAAAAATATATCTCAAATAAAAAAATTATATTCATTATTGCTCTATTATATTTACTTATTAATTGAGGCACTTTAATAAATAAACAGAATTTTGGACTTCAAGTGTTCAATATGACACGTAAAACTGTAAAATAATTAAATATTATAACAATCAGTATTTGTACTTCCATAATAGTAATTTAATTATGCTGTAATTAAAGACAATAAAAACGTTCATATTTATTGCTTCAGTAGTTTTTATAATAATACATACCCTTATAAAAATTATTAATAAGTGATTCTACCTCATTGATTTGTCAAAATTATATTATATATTTATAAATTCAATCAATCATTAAAAGATTTTCAACTTCATCGACAGTTCTAGCCAGAATAGTTGCAGGAAATCCGTATCTATTCTTCGGATCTTTTATAGCATCACTAATTCTTCTATAAGCTTCAACAAACATCTTCATTACTCTTCGATTAACTTTTTTCACCAATGGTTGTGGATGACCTTGTAATTTAAACATATCTGTATCAGCTAATGATAAAAATGAATCAAGTCTCGCCATTGTATTTGTTAACGAATTGGTATCCATATTTGGATACAGCGATAATGGTGTCTAAATTAATAATAAAAAATAAAAGATAAATAATTATTTATTATAATAAATTGTAACACAGGTTGAATCAATGAATATCGGGAGACAAGTTTCCTGATATGTACCCGATAGTCTGCCATAGATCCGCCAAATACCTGCTGTATCAGCAGCAGTATATTGGGAGGTGATATCAGTAACATAAGTATACATTATTGGGCAAATTTGTGAATAACGGCAATTTGGCTCAACCGGACAAATGATATTGGCTGACAAGTGTCGCGAAGCGGCACTTGTCAGCCAATCATTTGTCCGGTTGAGCCAAATTGCCGTTATTCACAAATTTGCCCAATAATG